CACGTGGTAGCCGTGCAGCAGGTCATCCTGTGTGGAGGGTGAGGATTCTACCACTAAATCAGTCTCGCTGGGTCTTGATTCTAGAAGGTTCCTGCCAAACTCTGCCCCTCTGACATGACTTTGTCCCCTGCTTCCTTGGAGGCCACGGCTGCTGTTCCCACCATCCTGCGCAGAATGTCTGTTATTCCTGGATAAGGACTTTCTCTAACCTTCCAGAACAGAATTTATGTCTTTTCACATCTTAACTTCAAAGCTTTGGACTTGCAATCCCCTCTTGCTGTTTTCCATGAACACCCCCTGTCTCTGTGCTCGGAGTTGCTTAAGGAATAGAGGAGTAATTTGTCAACAGCAGGGTGATAGAGCCATGTCAGAGAGAGCTTTCAAGATGGCTGGTTGAAGACGGCCCCCTGCAGGCTCTAGTACACAGCTGAGTAAACTGCTCTTAGCTGGACCCAGTGTTTTGAGATTGGAAAAGATGACAATAGCATTTCCTTCTGACTCCGAGCAGTCATGAAAGCTAAAAAAGTATTTGTTTTTCCCCTTGAAGAATCTGAAATTTCTATCTAGGATATTTCATTAGCTTCACAAATATTTGTTAGGACAGAGATGAGTTTCATTCCTTTGTCAAAATCTCCTGTTTATAATAATCTCAAATATCATAATAGAAAATGCTTTCACTCCAAACTGACGTTCCAGTTCTTCCACTTACTGAATTTTGGTCTAGGTTGCATGACTGTAACCTCTCTGTACCTCAGGCTCCCCAGCCGGAAAATGGGGATAATAATACTTAGTTTTTAGCCTTGTTATGGCAAGGTATGTGAAAATAGTTATATTTAAATGTACATTACTGTTGGCTAATGAAAACATTGCATATCAACTGAAAGGTTGGCAGTTCAAACCTGCCAAGAGACAGCTCAGAAGAAAGGTCTGGTGATCTGCTTCTGGCAGCAGATCAGTTCTGGAGCCGTTCTCTACTCTACATATATCGGATGCCATGAGTTATGGACTACTTGGCGGCAATTGGCTTGGTTTTTTGTTTATAGGGTTTCAGAATTATGAAGTCTATCTTACTAAGTAATCCTAATATTCTATCCTTAGAAGACATTGAAGCAAAATATTTCCAGCACCAAGGGATTTGAATCTTTTCAAAGAAGTTCCCTGTGATGGTTAGAGATTATGTCAACTAGACACTCGTAGGTAAGGGTAAGGGAGGAACCCAAAACCTATCAATTGGGTCAGTGCAGATGATACTTCCTTGGTGCCATAAGCCTTTTTGTATAAGAGAGAGTGACTGAGCAGAGTTGAATCCTCTTTGGCCCTTCGCCTTTTGCTGGAACTGGGTCTTGCCTCTGGTTCCTCAATCTTCTGTTGTATAGCTTGCCAGTCCCAGGAGCCATCAGTGAACTGCTGATGGTGGATTCATTGGGCTGATTTTGGATTCATATTTTGTTTGCATCCACCAGCCCGTGCCCCTGCTATCTCTGCTTCATCATCCTGCTTCCCATTGATTAGCTTCCATGAGTCAGGAGAAACCTGACTTGAACTGGACTGAACTTAACCTATTTCTACACTCTATAAGCCATTTCTTAATAGAAATTTCTTTCTATATACAACTCATACAAGCTCTCTGGTTTTGCTTTTCTAGAGAACCTAACAGTCCCATGGCTACCTACCTTATAGTGGGAACCCTAGGCTAGTGGCCTTGGGCTGTAAGCTCAGAATCAGCGTGGTTTTGAGTCACACAGAGATTGTCTATCCCCTAGTATAATGTGTGAGTGTGGAAGTTACATAATCTATTGTCAACTTGTGAATGGGTGGAGTCTAGCCTGTCAATCGGGTCATAGCCAATGAGGCCTCTTTGTGGGCATGGCCTTCTCCTGAGGATTCTGGGAACTCTGGTCTTCTTCCCTGGAGGTGGGACACACACTCTCTCTATGCTTCATCTACCTGCTGACAAGACACATGGAACCAGAGCCCTAGAGCTGGAGAAGCCACGTGGAGACCCATGCCAGTGCTGAGATGCTTTTACCGCCACTGCACCCACAAGACTTTCCAACCAATGGCCCATGATATTCCTGCATTCAGGGTCATTACATGTGTTGCATGAGTCTGAAGAGGAAATTATAGACTGGTATTGGACATCTGGGCTAATATCGGACTTATGGACTTGATCTGGACTGAGATGGATATTTTCTTAATATACAATTACTCTTTCTATAAAGCTCTTTCTTATACAGAGTCTCCCTATATTTGATTCTCTAGTCTACCCAGACTAACACGGTGAATGAGTGGAAAGAAACACTCACACCCTAGTTATGCTTATTCACAATAATGACAAATGTAAAAAAATATTCCTTATAGAACAGCAGATGGAACAGACTCCATAAGTTTCCTTCAATAAACCTGTATCATATCTCCTGGCTGTACTGGGATAAACTTTAAAATCCCTCCACTTATGTCCACAGGTGCAAAGTTCATACACACAAAAAAGATTCATTTGTCAGTGTTCAAAGGCCAGAATTTAAAGGAAAGTACAAACAATTACTCAGAAATATGATGTGGCCCTTTATGCCCCCTTATTTTACTGGAACTAAGATTTAAAGGGGGAAAAAAATCACGAAGATCTCTTTAAAGTGTTAGAGAGCAAAGATGTGACTTTGAGAACTACAGTGCAGGTCTCAAGCTAAGTTCTCTAGAGAAGTAAAATTTTTCTATGCATACATAGAGAGACACTTAGATCATGAAAATGCTTTAATTGTGGAAGGGGACAAGACTGAGTCCCGACAGGTTCCAAGTCTGTGGGTAAGATGTTAAGCTGGAAACTTCTCCTGACTCACATAACTTTCAGTACTGTTGAACCTCAAATAGGTAGGAAAACCACGGGCTGGTGACAGTTGAATCCTAAGTCAGCAGGTAGGTCAGGTGGCAGATCAGATAGCAGGCTACTGATGACTCCCAGGATTAGTAGGCAATATCGCAGGCCATTGAATCCAGTCCAGATGCAAGGTCTACACTCAGCAAAAATCAAAAGCTTTCTCACAGCACCCATTTATATAGGAAGTAGCCACATCCCTGCAGAATTTCCCTTCAATTGCTCCTAAGGGCTGTGACCAGAACAAAAGGGTTGCATCTCATCCTAATCTTAAAACGTATTGGCTGCTCATAGCAGGTCCCATAAGGAGTTGATTAGATTGGTTTAGATCTTAACCATCAGACCACTGAGAATCCTAGAACACAGTGCAAACAGACTGGGGGTAACCAAGTTGACACAAAGCCTGATTATCACAGTTGTGCCCTACCCAAACCATGCTATCTTTAATTGCCTCCTATGCATATGAAATCTGGAATGTAAATAAGAAACACTGCAAAAGAATTGATGTATTTGAACTACGCTGTTGGCAAAATATTGAGAGTTCTGCTAGGGAATAAACAATCTATCTTAGAAGTACACCTAGAAGACTAGTCCTAGCACCAAGAATAGTGAGACTTCATCTCATGTACTCTGAGCATGTTATCTCTCATGAGGGAACCTTATGCCTCATCCAGTAGTGACTGCAACAGTAGGCTCAAACCTAGCAATGTTTGTGAGGCTGGCACAATCACGTTATCAAGAGAGACCCATCCCTATCGAAAAGGAAATTATGCTTGGTAAAGTAGAGGGTTAGAGAAAAAGGGGGGAGAGACTCAACATTATAAATGGCCACAGTGGCTGCCACAATGAGCTCAAACATAACAATTGTGGGGATGGCATGGGGCCAGGCAGTGTTGTGTTCTGTGGTACATAGTGCTCGCTCTGAGCTGATGGCACAACACCCACAAGATGCAAAGGTGTTCAGGTCCTGAAGCAAAACGAAACTTAAAAGCAAATTTTAAAAGCAACACCCAGCTATGCTGACGGCTCCTTGAGGTTGCCAGGTGCCAGTGATGACTTTATTTAAAATAGAACAAAGCGTCACCTGGGCCTACATGGTCTCATGACTGTTGGCATGCTTGAATTCACTATTGTGATTGTTGTGTCATTCTGTCTCCCCGTGGGTTTCTCTTGTTTTCAATGGCCTCTCATTGACCAAATCTGAATTCGTTTCAAGTATTTGCTGTGTCCAAAGTAATCCACTCAAAGTCTTTCCATGTTTGCTTCGAAGGAGTATTCCAGTTACATTTCTCAAAACTGATTTGTTTGGGTTTGGGTTTTGTTTGTTGTTTTGCATATTCAGCATACTCAGTATTCTTTGTCAGCACCACATTGAGCCTCATTTTAATATTTTTAAAGCCCTTTGCTCGTTACCTCCCATGCTACTTTCTGGAGTTCATTCCCCATGAATTAAGTAACCAAGCTTATGGCCTCTGAAATTATTCTGATGCACAGTGACCCCATAGGCTGTTGTAGAGCTGCCTAATATAAGGTGACCAGATTTTAACATTGGTAAAGTGGGACACCATTGATAAAACTCATATCCTGGTGAAATAGTCACATGGCAGCCAAAAACAGCATACCCTAGCTTGTCGTGCATTCTTTCCAAAAATCGGGACTTTTAAAACACCGAAGGATGCGGGAAAAATTGTTAAAAATCAGGGCATCTTAGCCTAATAGGTTTTCTAGCCTCATCTTTCTACAATGGAGCACCTGGTGGTTTTGAACTGCTAGCCTTTATAGCTAACAACTAGTTACTCAGTTACTGAGCTTTCAGAGCTCCTTAAAGTAAGCAGTAGTATGGCTTTATTCATTTTTAATTTACTTTAATTCCAAAAAAAGTTTGACCTGTACAATGATAGCAAAGCTTTGTAAGAAGCTGCTTCCAGAGAAGATTAAAGATGATGAAGACTTGCAAAGAGAGATCTCACCTCCGTGGCATCGCACCTGCATCCACTCCAGGGACTCACTGGGCACAATCCTGCGCAGGGGAACATGGGCATGCTTGATTGGGGCCCCAGGGTAAGACGGTGCAAACAGGCTGGGGCCAGTACACTCCTCACCGTGTTGTGTTTTCCTTTTCTTCCAGAGACTCTGACCTGTTTTTGTTGGACACCCGTGTCGTGTGGGCCTCCGAGGAAGGCTGGTTGGAATTTGACATCACAGCCACAAGCAATCTGTGGGTCGTGACCCCACAGCATAACATGGGGCTTCAGCTGAGTGTGGTGACGAGGGGGGGTAAGTTGTGAGTGAGTCAGAATTGTCCCTAGATCAAGGATGGCTGACTTCATCGTTCCCTTTCATTTCTTTCAGAAAATCAAACTTTTCCTTGAGGTTAGGAGGGCCCTAGCAGTGCTGGATGACACCCACCAGCAGAGGTGGTCAGGGGTCTGACAGTAAGCAGGGAAGGGCAGTTTGTAGTGGCAGGATGCAGAGCTGAGGGTGTGGACTGGGAGGAACTTACTTGGATGACTGACTGGTGAGTGAGTTTGTGTGGGAATCCTCCCAGCAGCCCTTTCTCCTGAAGCACCCGAGCTGTGCAGCTCCAGCTCGGGCTGTGCCAGCTCTGCTCCTTGCCACGGCCTCACGCATTGGGAAGATTATGTATCGGTAAGAAGGGAGGTGGATGATTACGAATGTTAGAAACAGGAGATTCGAGAGTGCAAACCTCTCTGTTATTAGACTCGCCTAACTTGGAAGAGCATGTTTGACTCTGCCCAAAGGAAGCCATCTGGATTGGACGGTTGCTTCTTCCCAATTCCCATCCTTTAGCAGCACCAGGGGGCTAGGAAGGACCAGGTGGCTGTGTAGCTTCAAGAGCGCAGCTCAGACGATCAGTCAGGATGTGGTTCGGTTTGCATTCAAGGTCTCAGCGTCAGCCCGCGAGCAGCTGGCCTGGTAGGCAGAGACGGTCCGTATGACAAGCAGCCCTTCATGGTGGCCTTCTTCAAAGTGAGTGAGCTCCACGTCCGCACCGCACGGTCAGCTTCTAGTCGGCGTCGACAGCAGATCCGTAACCGCTCCACTCAGTCCCAAGACCTGTCCCGGGTCTCCAGTGCCTCAGGTAGGTTCAGGGTAGCTTGTTTCTCCCCCAAGTCTTGGGTTTGGGACCTTTGTGAAATCCAGTGACATGCTGATGATGCAGATGTTTACCAAGTTCTACACAGTGCCTGGGAAAGATCTCTAGACGGCGTATAAGAGACCCTGGTAGTGGGTTGAACTAAGCCTGGGGCTCCTAACTGCCAGGTCAGCGGTTCAAACCCACCGACTGTTCTTGTGGACAAAGATGAAGCTGCTTGCTGCTGGAAAAATGTACAGTCTCAGAAATCCTATCCAGGGTCACTGTGAGTTGGAACGGCCTTAGTGGTAGTGGGTTTGGGATTTACTCTGCAGTCTCTGAATATAATCCAGTCTGAAAGGCTGGCAACTCAAGTCTAGCCAGAGGCATCTCAGAAGAAAGGCCTACGGAAACACTTCCCCTGAAATTATTCATTGAAAATTCAGTGGATCCCAGTTATGCTCTGACACGGATGGGGTCACGGACGACAACTGGAATCAGGACCCCTTCCATCAGTGGTTCTCCAGATGTGTCCCCAAGGCCACCAGAGGAACCCGTAGGCCGCAGACATCCTGAGAGTCTGCATATGCAGACAAGTGTCATTTGGTTAGACGGCTCCAACTTGATTTCCTTTCGCCCTGAGCGCACCTGGACTCTCTCTAGTTGCATTATACCTGGGAAGCTGGTACGCGCAAATAAACACTGTGCATCTGTAGAGGATCGCCTGTGTCCTTGGACAAAGGGATGGAAAGGCCACTCAAAGCACCGTCTGTGATACTGCCCTTTTGTAGGAGATCGCATTCAGGCTATTCGTCGAAGCACGGAGGAACGAAAGTAGGTGTTCTCCCGCCCCCTAGGCCGCTGACATTGCTAATATGTATTGGCTTCAATCCCAGATACGTTGAAAGTGTCAGGAATCCAGCATGAATTGGAAGCACAGTAGGACTTGCCATCAGAAATCACCCTTTCCTTGTTCCCAGTCGTCTGACCTGGGGCAAGTTACTCTATCTGTTTCAGCTTCCGTTTCTCTGTAAAGTGGAAGTGGATAGCTCATACAGTGTAGCTTTGCTGGTTTGAAACAAAAAGCACTTCAGCCTGTTTATGTCATCCTTCGGCTGTCATCAAGCAACATGCCTACTCAGGTCCATCCCAGGCACACTGGTATTGGAATGTTGTCACCCCCTGGGTCCTTATTGGCTGATTTTTTGGGGGAAATACATTGCTAGGCCTTTTTTCGTAAGCCACCTTAGTCAGGAAGCTCTGCCGAAACATGTTCAGCATCATAAATCAAAATGCAAACCCAGGGCACCGTTAGGGCCTCAGACTCATAGTCTCCCTCGTGTGTGTGCTCTATTTTGTCTTTGGCCTGTTTAAGACTTAACGGAGCCTCCATAAAAGAAAATGAAGTTTAAAAAACCAAGCTAAACCTGTTGTCATTGAGCCGATTCCAACTCACATCGATCCCTATCAGACAGAGTGAAATTTGCCCCATGGAGTTTCTTAGGTTGTAAATCTTTACTGTACAGCAAACCTGCCACATTGTTCCTCCCATAGAGCTGCTGATGGGTTCAAACCACCAACCTTTTGATTAGCAGCCACACAATTAACCGCTGAACCACCAGGCCCCTTAGCAGCATCAACCTTGTCCATGCCTAATAGCACAAAAGCATTAATTGCATCTGCCTGTAAGTCCTCAGGGGGGCGGGGTGTTGGGAATTCCTGAAAACAAAGTAAGATTCTTCTAGGAGATGCCTGTATTTTCCTAGGTTATAGGGTCTGTGTCTGCAAGCCATAGCCAGGGGCCTCTGAACACCTGTCCCCTAACAGGTGTTCCTAGAAGAGGAACAGGTGTTCCTAGAAGAAATCAGTCGGCTCTGAGTTCTTAGGCCATTGCTTCAACCAGCAACTTGGACGTGGAACTTGGGGGTCCACCACCCAGTGTGATGTGACATTTGGCTGCTTCTCCTCCTGGTGTTTCTCTGCAGCCAGGCCTCACTCATTAAGGACCTGGGGTCAAGTTGGGGACTGAGATCTCAAGTCACAGAGGCTTCTCTTGAAATGCTGGTTGCTTTTTAAAATTAAAGTTTCACTTGATTTGTTCCACGCCATCCTCCTGGCCCCCTTCACACACACACACACACACACACACACACACACACACCACTTTTAAAATTAAGACAACATGTTTCCCTTGACACAATGTCACCCAATGAGTCTTGGCCAAGTTCCGTTCACACTTCTTTTCAATTAGATGAGTTTAAATGAAATGCAAATATTAAAATGGATCACATTTGTCACAAAAGGCAAGCCTGTCCGACTTTTCTTGGTCTGCCCTCTCAGCCCACACCTCTCTGCCCAGTGGCTTGACTCCTGACCATGGTACCAAGTCAAACAAAAGAGTTCATAACCTCGCCTATTTAGAAGCTGACACTCCCAAGAAATGATGTACACGGGGTGCTCCCTTGTCACTGTCTTCAAACACCCTCCCAAGCTGGAGTCCATGCTGACTCTAGGGTGTTTGCATGACTGAGTGGGGGGAAGTCAAGTGCTAGCCTCTCCCCCGTCCCCTCCCAGCCCCATGCCTCTGAGTGGACTTGAATCTTCACCCTTCGTGTTAGCGGCTGACAGCTTCTCCTCGTACACACACACACACACACACACACACACACACACACACGATTCCAGACAGACAGATGCACACACACACACACAGATTCCAGACCATTTTAGTGCTACCTTATGTACTTGGCTCTTGCTTCCTTATTGTTTCTACCTGTTAATGGTGGGGGCGGGGAGGGCGGGGGTGCAGATGCAGAGGAGTAGATTGCTTTCTGAGAAGGGATATCCAGACGGGTGACATGCCTCCAGAAAAGCAGCCCATCCTGGTTCAGCTCTCTGTCCAGGTCCCTGGGGGCCAGATGTTGCTGTCAGAGAGCTGTGGGTTCTGGTGAGACTCCATGCCAGCAATGCTGTCTCCTGGTAAACATCCGTTGGCCTCTGCAGTCCCTTCATCCACGAACATGCTCTCAGAGACTGTACATCTTTTCATTGTAACAACAGCCCCCAGAAGAAACCCACTGAGTATGCCCTGCATCTGGGTAGAGAAGTTCATCACCTCATCCGATCGCCTGTCATCGGGGTGAAACATGGCAGGGAAATATGTGCTGTTTTTGGAAATGAGCTGTTTATACCTGAGAGGGCAGGACTTGTCCACAACCAGGCAAAGGCCAAGGGAGCCCC